TTGTTTCAAGATCCCAGCAAAATTTCAGTGTTATGATTTTATACTTTCTAAGTACGTTTTCAACAGCCTGTGGAACAACATGCTAGGAAATAAAACTAATGCTCTTCTCACCTAATACACTGTGTTAATAGTTGCTACTTACTTCAATATCCCTATGCTTTAAAAATAAAATGGATTTCATTTATGCACTAGTACCTAGCAGAAAGTGCAATAAAATTATTTTCCTCTTATAAGAACATGCTGTAAAGGCCCATTAAGACATAATTACTGCCAAAAAGGCATTTTACATTTCCTTGAGATAAGCTGCACTAGCCTGCTTTGAGATTTCACTTCCATTGATTCAGGATTAGAGCAGCATGTTTAGATAATAAGCAGAGGGGTCTCAGATAACAGCCTGAGTGAATCATCGGACTATAGTGTTTAGTCTGAGAAAGTGTGTTTATCTGAAGGGCTCTTGGGACTAATATGGTTCCTCTTCAAAGCTTGAAGCAGGGGGCAAGAATCATCGTCCTGCAGGTTGGCAGGATAAACATGTCCTGTGATTTGCTAGCAATTTGAGAGATGGATTTCGGTACAGAGCGCACTGCTGTTGTCAGGTTGAAAAGTGTCTGCCTGGAAATGAATTCAAGTGCACACAACTCCAGACAAAGGAAAATCTCCCTGAAATGGCATGCCATCACATTTTAGGGCCCATTTTTCAAGTCTCTGACTCACACCTGGGAAATATACTGGTGCACTAAGTTTATCATAAAAAGCTCACGTTTTAGCAAACAAAAATTGGTGCAATAATCTCTGAATGTATTGTCTCACTGACAGGCACAGAAACCCATTTTTCCACATACTCGCCTGCCTTGTATCTGAAAACAATTTTTGCCTCTTTTACATGTCAGATCAGATTGTTTTCCAGTGAAGGAAACTCTGCTGCTCTTTTAGTGTTCGGCGTGAGGTCTACACAGAGAGATTGGGTAATGTGTCATACAGGGGGAAGCTGTGGCAAGAATAAAAGCTCCTGTGTCAGTCAAGAGTCTATAAATACAGCAGGAGAGATAACTGCTGTGTGTGCTCCATGAGGAGCATGCTTCTGGGCTCCAGAAGTAGCAACATATTTTTAAGCTAGAAGAGAAGGTGAGAAAGCGTAAATGAGCGAACAGAAGGTTTCTATAACTCCGTGTGGAGGCTTTTTGTGCATGGTTGGAGCAGTTGGGGGTTGTCACTCTCAGAGAATAATTGTGAGGGAACTGAATGCAGAATAAAGTGCCTGAGGGCTGAATGTCCTTTCGTTTGCACCTGCAAGTTTGCTGGAAACCAAAGAGTTTGCGTCAATTTGGATTAAACGTATGTAAAAGCAGGTTATTTTTATGACGCATTGGTTAATAAAAGGGAAATCCCAGAACTACCTCCAACATTGCTTCCAAACTCAGTGGACATGGGTGAATTTCAAGGGAAAGTTACTCAAAAAATGTCCCATATGGGTGAACAAGGAAGTTCAAGCTATCTTTATGGATACTAATTTGCATTTGCAGATTTCCATGAAATTTGCCCTATATACTCCTTATGTTGTATTGTAGCTAGCCTTGGGAGTTAAAATCTAAAAAATAAACTTCCTCATTTTTATAAATATTATCTCAATCTCACATTTAATGTACTGGTTTTAATTGAATTGTAAATGCAAAAAGAAAAGTTTAGTGTTGAGAATAGTACTTCTAGTTAAAGAGCCAAAGGCATCATTGGTAACTAACCAAAGGAATTACTGGCAGCTTCTTCTAGATTCAGTTGTTCCACTGAAAAATAATACAAAATACAAAAAAAAAATACAAATAAAATAATAAAAATAAGCATCAATTTGTTGCTCATTTCCTTGCAGAACATTTTCAAGCTTTTTTTTGGTAGGAGGAGCTCAGGTTAGGTCTGCTTATGAAAATCCAGATACCAGGAGCTACATCAGTACCTTCTCCTGAAACTCTCTGAGGCAAACATATTCTGTCTGAAGCTAAATGGGGTGAGCAAACACGGGCTGCCCAGCTGGCAAGTGTAGAGGGTGGTGAAAAGAAGGTGTAGTGAGTTTAGTGAAGCATAACTGCTTGACCCAGCCCTTACATTCTTTAAGAAAATGACTCTTGTTGTGCCTTCTGTTGAAAAACAGTATAGGAAGAGTACAAAAGGGCAAGTGATGGGGTATAAAATATGTATCCAGAGTCCATTGAACATCAGTTTACTTCCTGAGATGCGCAATTGGTCTATGTACATGCACAAGAGAAAAATCAGTAACTAAATGAGCAAGTTTATTAATGTTTCTGGTTTTCACATTGTTTGAATGTTGGTTTTGTTTTTCTTTTTTTTTTTTAACTTCAGAAAGTTGAGAACATAAATGTATTTTTGGAGCACCATTTATGTTTTAAATGCTTCAAACTAGATCAAGCAGATAAAGTATTGAAGATTTTTATGCAGTATCAGGTTTGAAATCACACGTGAGTTTTAAGTCTAGATTTGGCTATTAAAAACTGTGTTAATTATTAATAGTTAATTTGGTCAGTGTTGAAATTCTTAATTAGTCCATAGGTACAGAAGGGAAAGGAGAAATATATTTGTTGAAACATATCCTCCAGCACAACAAAAAATACGTTAAATTCAGTCAGTTTGGCTATTGATTTCTTGTATTTCCCAAATAAGGATGAATCACAATTTTGGCTCCTTGATCTCCTGCAGTGATTAAAGTCATTATTCAAAGTTGATGATGAAGTATTTATGACTGTGAGGACACCCAGACAAATGAGTTTTCCACTGCCTGATTTAGAAGCTGTAACACCGTCTTCAATTTGACATAAAACCAGGGGAAATAAAAATAACTAGGCACCACCAAGGCACACATCAGCAGCAGCACAAATGGGTGCTTTGGATTTTTACCCTGAGTCACCAAAGTCAGAGCAGAATTTGTGTGAGCTTCAGTGAGAGCACCATTAAGTGCTCTGTGAAGAAAGAGCCAATTTCAGCTGCTGACTTCAATGGGAGTTGGATTAGGTCTTGATTTATTCTAGAGCTGTGTAGTGCAGATAGAGAGGCAACAAATCCAAAGACATCTACAAAGACAAGCAGCTAAATCCAGGACACTTGGAATGGACAGCTCCTGAAAAATCATGGGGAGGTAAAGTGGGAAGAGCTTCCTAGTTATGCTGGGAATGTGTTTCAGTGATGATGATCTACATTGGAACCAGGGAATTTAAAATAGAGATTTGCTCATATCAAATCAACTTTTGATTTGTTGATTAATTTCAACATTTTGACAGAAGTACAACAGCTATGCCCAGGTTGTAAAATGTCCTGGGGTGATAAATCTGCTGAGTGTGGTGCTCCTGCACACACCTCTTCTTGCTTCAAATAGGAATGGATGAGGAAAAAGGGGAGGTTTAGATTGGACATAAGGAAAAATTTCTTTTCTGAAAGGATTATCAAGCCCTGGCCCAGGATATCTGGGCAGTGGTGGAGTTACATCCCTGAGGTATTAAAAAGCACATGTCTGTGGCACTTGGAGACGTGGTTTAGTGGTGGGCTTGGAAATGCTGGGTTAATGGTTCCACTTAACGATTTTAAAGATATTTTCCAAGTTTTAAAATTCTATGATTCTATTAAATATCTGCACCACATTTCATTACTTGGTCACTACACACCGTGGTACTCTAATATTGTAGATTTTCTGCTTCCTAATAGAGATACAATTTAGAGATAAAACTCCAGCTTTTGTGTACTACTGTGCTCAACACCTTTCACTGACTGAATTATTCTGATTTCTGTTCTTACCTTGCAACTGTTTGTTCTGACAAAATTAAATCATATCCTCCTCCCATAAATTAAAAATTAGGTTTATTTCTAGTCTTTTCATATGATCAAAAATTTTAAAGTAATGAAAAATAATATATATGAAAATGAATGACAATAGCTGAACTTCCTTTAAATTTCTGGCAGCAGACTGCATTCCCCACCATTTGCAGTACCTAGTTCAGGTGCATTCAGACCTCTAGGAAGCTGAGAACAAGGTTACTAGGCTTTTGCTTCCCAAATATTTCCTTGTTCATTTAAGTGTTTAAGTTCCTTTTTGGTTGTTTTGCTCCTGCACGAGGTGCACACACACTATGGGAACGCAAGAAACTACAAAAGCCTTCAAAGAGACCCTGAGACACACCTGAGGAAAAGATCAGCAGTGGCAGTACTTTGATTAAGCAGTAAAAATATCTTGAGGTGGAAAGAAAATGAACTGAGTCAGGTAGAAGAAATTATTGTATTTAACTCTTTCTTCATCTTTACTGCATGTGAAGCTTAATTCACTGACCACAGGTACACTGTCATAGAATTGGCAGAATCAGGGGATTGTTTGGGTTGGAAGGAACTTTAAATTTTATCCCATTCCAACCCCCTTGCCAGGGAGAGGAGCACCTTCCACCAGCCCAGGTTGCTTAAAAGCCCCATCCAACTTGGCCTTGGAACTTCCAGGGATTGGACAGCCACAGCTTCTCTGGAAAACCTGTATATGCAACCCTATGTGTTACTTTTGACATTAGGATATTTTCCTTATGCATGAGCATTTGGTATTTACATATAATGTGGGGAGAAGATGAAATGTAACAAAATACTTAGACTACAAGCAGACCAGAAAATTCCTGTAACGTATATAGAGAAGGAGGAATGAGAAAAATGTAAGATAATCAACACAGTATTTATTAATTTCATTATTGTGATAGATGTTCCTGCATGCAGGAGAAAAAGGAACAAATTTTTATCTATTGTTTATTTCAGACTGTCTGTCTCATCTGATGAGATTTGGAAGTTATACTGTTCTATACTGCAGCACTCCTTTAATCTTCCCCTTTGCTAATTTCTCTATATTGTTCTGCCACTGCTTCCTTTATGCTTGAATAGGGAACTTTAAGCACTGTGACCCACATCTCTGAGGTTAAAATATTTGAGTTTATCTCTGATTGAATGACTCTCATTGGAAAATTACTCACCTGTCCAGCAGTGTCTAGAATGTCCAAATAGGCTGGCTCATCATCAATTCGGACTTGAGTTTTATAAGCATCCTCTGAAAAACACAGTGCAGTTTTCTTAAGCATGTGAGTGGCTCAGAGAATGGAAAATTATACAGCTTTGCTAGTTTGGAGTAGGCTTTTCATAAGCTCTCCAATCTGACATAACACAGTTTTATTTCAAAAGTTCCTTTTTGAAATCCTTTCTTCACTACAAAGTATTAGCAAAAGAGAGTCTCTTCCATCACACTACCTCAAAAAAAAAATTCTTTTTTTAAGAGGGAAAAATTTCCTTTTCTTTAAGCACAGTCCCCAGGTGTTACTTAGGTCACAAATATTCAGAGGTGTTGTGCTGGTGCTGTGTAAGGGTGGTTTTTTACTTACCACAATGACACATTCAAAGAGATTTCCTAGCAAACAGTTTCATTTTAAAGATTGCCTAAATTATTGGGATAGACTGCTTGTGGCTGGACAGGGTATTGGCTCCGAGTTACTATTTAAACTTCTAAATATCTCCAGAAAGGCTGAGCATAAACTTTTTAAAAAGATATTCTGTAATCTGTGTCTTTACACTCATCATAGATGCAGGCAGAGGAGAAACTCTGCTTTGTGGACCCTTCCCTCAGCACATGATTTTGTCAACTAAATTTAGAAGAATTTAAACAAAGAAAAGCACAATAGCACAAGCTATTTCCCTCACATTATAATTTCATTCCCCTCCCAACATTTGTATTTTCTTCATAAGATTAAAAGGCGCAGAGATACTGGCTCGTGTTTATACTTGAAATAGTCTTGGAAATTATCTGTGCTCTTTAATTGAACAATCATGCAGAGCAGCTTGAGTGGTTTTTGTGACTGACACTGGAAGTGCACTAAGGCATGAAGACAAGACAAGTGCATTTGTTGAACCTGAGAAATGTCATTAACCCATTGGGAGCAGGCTGGGCTTGTCCTAAGAGTCTGTCCTAGCAGACACCCTCAAACTGAAATAATATTGAGATTATAATATGGGATAATATGGCAGGTAGCTGGAATACTTGGGACCTTCCATTTTGTGCTATAAAATACATGTTTCATCGTGCAGCACTTTATAAAAGCATGGGAAAATCTGCTTTCTACCAGAAGAGGAAAAAAATGAAAGCATTTGGATACAAGTCTGTATAGCCTTAACTCAGACCCCTCCTGTCCAGCCAGAGGATTGCTGTCTTTCATGACATAATCACATACAGTATTTCCCCTTTTATTTTAGGCCTCAACTCAGAAAAGAGGCACATGACTTTCTTTAAACAAATATTTAATCCCATTGATATCAAGATGGCCCAGAGGCTTAATTAATTGTATGATATATTACCTTTCTGAGAAAACCAGAGCACTCCAACCACCATATGTTTTGGTTAATAGATCTTTTTGTAGGGATTGCTGAACAAGAAACTGTGTGGCAAAGAGGGACCATATAAAAGGCATTGGACTACTTGCAGTTTAAGTAATTTATTATTGCATGACACTGCAATCTACCTGCAGTAGATTTCTTTTTTCTTTCTTTCTTTTTTTTTCTTCTTTTCCATTAACCAATAATTAAAAACAAAATAGCAAAATATCTAAAAATCAAACATGGTATTTCCTCCACATTAATTCTATTGATACTATCAAGTATTATTAATGTAATTCCATGCAGGTGGGTGTCCATTTGCATTGCATTACTGCATACATAATTAACATATGACTTCTATAAGTTTAGCTTGCATTCTTGGCTTTGCAGCTGGGTTCTCTAAAGACAGAGGTCTGAATTCCCTTTTCCAATATGAATCTTTATACAGAAGATTTAAAACAGTTAAAGTGGAAAAAAAAAATTCCTATTTGAATTTTACTCTGATAAAAATGAAACTAGATAAATCCTGTCTTTTTTTTTTTTTTTTCTGATGAGAGGGTTTACAAGTTAAGAGTTAGTTCTAACTAAAACACTGGCCTCTAAATATAAGCCACAGCTTTCAGACGTCTAGCCTGCTGAGCTACTCCAGGTGTACCTGATATAATGTCACTGTCATCAGTATAGTTTTAGCTGTTAAAAACTGGATCCAGTCCATCTTTATAATGTTTTTTACTTTGTAGATGCAACACTGAATGTAGAAAGACATTTTGTAATTTTCATTTACTTTGCTTTCTCTGACTACTGACCTTAAAACATTTCACAAAGTAATGTTAACATCACTGTCCCATTTTCATTCTTGATGTATTCTGATGTCTTCTGTTGGTGGTAGAGAAACATGTTTTGATGTGCTTTGACCAAGTACATGAATCTAAATAGTTTTCTAGGCAAATATTTTCCACACGTAAGATTTTTATTTTGCCCCAAGAAATGTAGAGATGAAACAGGAAAGAGGTATGATTTTCCTTTGTAATATTCTCTCTGCCTACATGCAAAAAGCAGGATAGTAGAGATAATAAAGAGAAGTCTAAAAATGTCCTCAGCTGGGGCGTGATAAGCAGGGGTATTTTCAACCTGCATGTAGATGGAAAATAGGTGGAAGGTTTCACCCCTAATTTTCTTCAGGCACACATTTAAGAGAAAGTCCTAAAGCGCACACTTGCCAAAGAAATCACTGTCTTGAGCCAACACACTCTCATACCAGAGAACAAATCATAGCACCCACTTATGATCTTCACCTCCTTAATCACCTCCTTAATGCTCAAACACAGTCACTCTTATGAGGGCCACTGCCTTTCCATCTACCTGGATTCACTGATCTCCTGGGCATTTCATTCTTTCCAAGGCAGCAGACAGAATCAAGATACATAAATTGAAACCCCTGTTTCCCATATCATGTCAAAAAGACCAAGAGGAAGAGCTATACCACTTAGTTCTGCTCTACGATTAATACTTTTAAACTGGGATGTTGTCTTAGAAAGTAATGTAAGTAGCGGTTTAATTCTATTTTCTGTCTATTACATGGGAAAACATTTTTATTTTATTTTAAATTATGATGCAGAGAGATTTCAGAAGGCACTACTGTGTAGTTGGTCTTTTTCAGTCCAAGCAGCATGGCACAATTTATGGTCATGGAAAGAGAAGTTCTGAGACCCTGCTGTAAAGAGCAGGAACAAGCTGCTCACATGTGGACAGAGAACAGAAGTGAAGATGCTCCTCTGAAACTGCATCTAAATATAAATGAAACAAAGTGGGAAAATCTTAATCCGGAACACTAACAAACTCACATTCCAATATCCTCCCTTTAAAAATTATCTGCAAATAGTGTATGCTCTATTTACAACACTCCCAGTGTTTGAGTATGCTAAACTTTCTTTAACCTAATTAATTTATAATATGTATAAAATGTTCCCTATAAAACTAATTTGGGCACTGCTAAACCACATGTATTTATGCTTTACACCCTACAGCTCTAAAGAGTGGTATTTAATAAAAGGCCAAAATCCAGCTGATGTTTCAGTAAAACATAAAAAGAACTTACAAAATAGGCATGAATGATAATCAGACATCAGGGAATCAAGCAGACCATAACAATATTGTTCAGATTAAGCTCAGGACTAGCCTTTTTTCTGTGAGGTTGATCATAAAGTCTCAGCTTTTGGTTTGGGTAAAATTCTGCAAAAGAGTAGGTTATTGCATGAAAAAATCTCTGGATGGAATTTACTGATATTGCTAATTGTGTTTCAAACACTGACTGCAGGAATGAACATTTTTTAGGGTACCAAAAGGAAAACAAAAAAATCTCCCACATCCTTGTAATCTGAACAATGTGTGGACATGTGAACGTACTGTGAAAGAATTTTTTTTTCCTACATATAATGTTGAGTTTTTAGAATCTTATTTCCTACAAAGATTAAAAAAAAAAAAAAAAAAAGAAAAAAGAAAATAGGTACAAAATTATTCTCAGAGGATTATATCATATGGCTTCAATGAATATTGACTGTATAATATATTGGAGGGCGTGACAAAAAATGTAGAGATCCAACTGTTTTCTGAATGGTACGTATTGCTTTTAATTTTAAATTCTTTCACCCTTCACTGAATATCTAAATTTTTGGGGTTTTTTTAAATTCTCTTTTTTTCATTTTTAATTGTTCCAGGCAGTGTTACAAAATTAAAGAAAATAAGTATTTAAATCTTATGTTACCCGGCTTTGTGGTTATTTGGGTTTTTTTTGTGTGTGTGTTTGAAATTAATGCATGATCATTTTTTACAGATTTCTTTTTTTACATGACATAATTCTGGACACAGAAATACAGTAATTAATGCAAGTTATGAGCAGTTATCTTAGAGAATCTGAATTAATAAAAAATATATCAGGGTACTTCCTCACTTATGAGCATGTAAGTGCTTCATGACAAATAGATTTGAACGGTGTAAAATTTAAAGGGGAATTTTATTGGGCTTTTCATCTGCATTACAGACATGTTCCAGTCCCTGAAATTTAGGTCAGATTCTTCTTTCTTCCATTTGTTAATTCTGTTTCTATGCCTTCTAAATAAAGTCTCTTTTCTTCTTTGCCTTGTACAATACCAATAGCAGTCAAAAATTGTCAGATTCACATATATAGGTGAGCCAAAATATATTTTATTTGACTGAGGAAGTGTCAAGCCAGCAGAAGGGATCCAAGCTCAGTCAGCCACACCTGGAATTCTGCCTCTTGTTGTTCTCCCTGTGTGCCAAAGCAACGGCAGGAGACATAGCCCTTGGTGTGCTTAGATTATCTGCTACAAATGCATTTTAATTTAGCAATGCTCCTGAATGTAGGATGGTCATGAGTCTTTGCCTGTACGGGTGCTCTTTCTATTTACAGCAAGGAATTTTTAAATGAAAAGACTGGATGAACAGAGACATAAACCACTGTACCAAATACTACACATAAACTCCTCCTCTTTGAGATAAGAATATGCATGTCATAGGAATTACCCATCAAAATACATTGCTATTAAAACCTCCCTTAACATTTAATTATTTTCCTGGACTATGAGTTGTTTTACAATTTGGGTGAGCATTGCTATCAGCGTTTTGCAGACAAGGACACCAAGTCACAGAGGTTGCCCTCCTATAAGC